TTTCTTCTACTAATTACAGCAGTCCTTTTATCATATCTTGCAGTGCTTGCTGGTTTGGTGCTAATATATTCCCTTAGCCTTTTTTTTTTTTTTGTCTGGAAAGCTCTTTATTTGACCTTCTATTTTGAAAGACAGCCTTGCTGGATAGAGTAGTCTTGGATTCAGATCCTTGTTTTTCATGACCTTGATTACTTCATGCCGCTCCCTTCTGGCCTGTAGTGTTTCTGTTGAGAAGTCAGCTAATAGCCTTAAGGGGGTTCTTTTGTAGGTAACCTGTTGCTTATGTCTTGCTGCTTTTAGGATTCTCTCTTTGTCTTTAACTTTTGGCATTTTGATTACTATGTATCTTGGTGTGGGCCTGTTTGGGTTCTTCTTACTTGGGACTCTCTGTGCTTCTTCAATTTGAATGCCTTCTTCCTTCACCAAATTAGGGAAGTTTTGTCACTATTTCTTCAAGTATATTCTCTAACCCTTGCTCATTTTCTTCTTCTTCGGGGACTCCTATGATGCGAATATTATTACGTTTCCAGTTGTCCCACAGTTCTCTTAAGCTCTCTTACTGTTTTTTAATTGTTTTTTCCTTTTGGTTTTCTAATTGGTTGATTTTTTTCTACCCTGTCTTCTAATTCTGATCCGGTCCTCAGCTTCCTCTACTCTGCTGTTTAGAACTTCCAGTGTGTTCTTTATTTCTGATATGTCATTCTTCATTTCTTCTTGGTGGTTTTTAATTTCCAATTGGTTGATTTTCAACATTTCTGTTTTACTCATGGTGTTGATGTCCTTACTCATGCTGTTGAGCTTCTTCAAGATCATGGCTCTGAATTCTAGCTCTTTTAACTTGCTTAACTGCTTCACATTTATCTCATCTTCGGTAGAGGTCTCTTGTTCTTTCATTTGGCTTTTGTTTCTGTGTTTCGCCATTTTGGCTATCACAGTGGGCTTTGGAGCCTGCCAAGTTTTCCCTGTGGGTGTTGGTGTTCTACTATTTGTGTCTTCCTCTCCTGGGTTTGGATGAGCAAGGGAGTACCCACGTTAAACACCACTGTCAAGTATTACTTTCCTGGTTAGAGTTGCTAGCCCAGGAATGGTTCAGTTAGCGTCTAGCTTTTTGCCTGAAGGCTATCAGTAGCAGTTACTTGAAGAGCCTTGAGTTCTCAGTTGAATGAAAAACTCCTTCAGGTGCTCAGCATAAGGGGATTTCCCGAGGGTGGGGCAGATGCTGGTTGTTAATGAGCCTCAATTTGCATTTCAGTGGCCCACCTGGGTGGGGTGGAATCTCCAAGGGAGGGGCCGCTGCCTCTCCCCAGAGCCCTGGGAAGGAGTAAGATAGCCACTGTCCTGCGTGGCTGCAACTCAGCAAAAGCTCTCAGTGCCCTCCAAATCCCAAGTGTCCCCACACAGTTCCAGTCCAGTCCGCCCTCCCTCTGCTGAAGCGCAAGGTGAGTGGCTATGCCTATTTTAGCATCTGTCCCAGCTCTGGGCTGTGGAGCCACTTGGGAGTTTAACCCAAAGGCACTGCTCACAGCTAACGTCGCTGCTGTCTGTGGGATCCCAGCCCCCCTTTCGCACCTCCGCAATCCTTCCAGGATCGAGTCAGTGTCCCTGGTTATATGATCCTCGCAAGCTACTTTTCTGTTGCTTTTTCCTGACAATTTGTCCTTATTTTAGTTGTAATTCCAGTTTGGTCCTGGGAAACTGTCTGTGTAGCTTCTATTCACTCTGCCGCCATTTTGGAATCCCTGTCTTCCTGTTTTTAAATTGTTGTTTTTTTTTTGGTTCTCTGATTTTGTGACTTTCTCCTACCCTGTCTTCTAATTCACCGATCCAATCCTTGGCTTCTTCTACTCTGCTGATTGTTCCTTCCAATGTGTTCTTTATTTCTGTTATGTCATTCTTTATTTTCGCTTAGTGGTTTTTCATGTCCAATTGATTTCCAATGTTTCTATATCTTTATTCATGCTATTGAGCTTCCTCATAATCATTACCCTGAACTCTATCTCTGATAACTTGCTTAATTCCATTTCATTTATGTCTTCTGTAAAATTCTCTTGTTCTCTCATTTAGAATTTGTCTTTGTTTCACTATTTTGGCTGTCTCAATGGGTTTTGGAGCCTGCCAAATTTTCCTTGTGGGTGTTGGTGTTTTGCTAATTGTGACTCCCTCTACTGGGTTTGAATGAGTATGGGAAAACTCACGTTAAACACCACCGTCAGGTCTTACTTTCCTGGGTAGATTTTCAGGCCAAACAAAGGTTCAGTTATCCTCTAGCTTTTGCCTGCAGGCTATTTGTCTCAGTTACTTGATGGCCCTCAGGTTGTGGTCCTCAGCTGAATGAAAATCCCTCAGGTGTACAGAGTAAGAGGATTTCCAGCAGGTGGGGCAATGGCTTTTTTCTCCCCTCCTTGCTTGCTGGTAGTTTCTAGCTCTTAATGAGCCTCAAATTGCATTTCTCTCGCCTGGCCTAGTGGTAGTAAATTCCTGAGGGAAGGATTGTTGCTTCTTTCCTGGGCTCTGGGATGGGGCTCTTTGACTAAGATGGCTACTGTCCTATGAGGGAGTGATTCAGCATAAAACTCTCAGTGTCTCCTTCCCAGCTCACTCCCTTGTGCCATGAACTCCTGACTGTCTTCACACAGTTCCAATCCAGTCCACCCTTCCTCTGCCGGAGCCCAAGGTGAGTGGCTGTAGCTGATTTAGTGCTCTGGCCCTTCAGGGAGGTGCCATTTTTTCCTGCGCCTCTCCTTGCCAGACCAAGCCTCAGCTCTGGTGATCTCAGCCAGGTGTTATGTGGGCACCTTTCCCTGTCCTGACAGTCTGTCCTGGGGAGCCTCCACTCTGTGCTGGGGAGCCAGCTTGGGGTTTTAACCCCTGACTTCTCAGAGGGAACTACTAACAACCAAAACAGGCCTCAGTTGCTGTCCGTGGGCTCCCAGCCCACTCTCTCATGCCTCTGCAGTTCCTACCAGGCTCAATTTGGTGTCCTCTTTCCATCCCTTGTTATAGGGTTTCTCTCCAGCTGCTTTTCAGTTTGTTTTTCCCAATGATTTATCTTTATTTTAGTTGTAATTCCAGTTTACTTTCACAGGAGTCGCCTAAGACTATCAAGAAACATATTTCAGATGGTAATTCCTAACAGTAGCAAAATTACAGTATGAAGTAGCAACAAAAATGATTTTATGGTTGGGGGTCACCACAACATGAGGAACTGCTTTAAAGGGTCGTGGCACTGGGAAGGTTGAGAACCACTGCTTTAAGGTCTAGTTGAAATCACTCACAAAACAATTCTGATTTCTCTTTTTTTTTTGCCCTCAAATCCCTGATTATGTGTTCATGGGTTTTAGTTGCATGGAAGGTGTGGCAAACTGTTTTTACGTGTTTTATCAACACTAAGATGCCATTGATTGTAACATTTATTCTTTTACATCCATGAAGAAAGAAAAACCTGCTGGTTAAACCATAATTTCAGAGTTTTTAAAATGTGAAAGTGAGTATCTTATATTAATGAAATACAGCATGTCAATATCATAGGTGGTTGTTTGATGATATCTAGTTGTGTGGGTCTCAGTGTTCTTATCCATTACATGAGCAGTGAGGACCATGAGCTCTGAGAAACCCTTCTGGTCCCAATACCCTTGAGTTCTGTAACACCAGAAGGGATGTTCTTGACTAGGCACTGGTTGTGTGATGATCTCCAAGACAGGGCTCCTGTCCATGTTCCTTCAATGCTTTGCCCTTTAAGAGTTAAGGAGCCCCACACTGCAGTATTTTCCCTCAGGACTGATCCCCCGCCTGCCCGTCATTGTGAAGAGGCTGCAAGATGCCCACCTTGTTAAGCACAAAAGTACTGCTCTTAGAGCTTGAGGAGTCTGGCTTACACATACACCATGCCTGCATACTATAACTCCTCCAGGAATCCTACAGACACAAATGAAAGCTTTCATTCGAAGGATTGACTCTGAAATTGACAAATAGTAGAGTGGTCAAACTTCCCAGTCTTCCCTGGACTGTCCCAGTTAACGCATTCATCCCAGTGATATTAACAACTCCCACTACAGTTTAGAGTGTGTCTACAGGGAAGAAATTGGGGAAGGGTGGTTGCTAATGGCTTATGGCTACCGTTGGCCCCAAATAATTTGAGAATCACTCATCTCAGGGACATTTTCAGTGTCTGGTTAGCCACTGCCAGGTGCTAATGCTTGGTTATGAGCCCTGAAAATGTCAACAAAGTGATTGACTCAATGGTTAGGACAACCTCAGCCCTTATCCAATTTAGCCGTTAATGGAAATTATGTGTTTCCTTGATTTTTTTTTTCTTTATTGATTTTTTAGAGAGAGAGGAAAGGAGAGGGAGAGAGAAACATCGATGAGACAGAACATCGATTGGCCACCTCCTGCATGCCCCTCACTGGGGATTTGGCCCACAACCTGGGCATGTGCCCTTACCGGGAATCAAACCAGCGATCTCTTGGTGCATGGGTCGATGCTCAACTACTGAGCCACACCGGCTGGGCAATTTTTGTATTTTTTTACGTGTGAATGATTCTGAATGTTATGGCCACTCATTCACAATCAGTAGCATCTTACTATGTTTAAAAATCTAATAATTTATTCTCCTCCTTACAAATTGAAATGAAGGCTGAGAGGGTAGAACCAGTGGGTCTTTAGACCACCATGCATAAAGATTTTCTTTTTTAAAATCCTCACCCAAGGATATTTTTCCATTTATCTTTAGATAGAGTGGTAAGGAGAGAGAGGGAAAGAGAGAGCGAGAGAAACATCGACATGAGAGGGACACATCGACTGGTTGCCTCCCACACGACACGACCAGGGCCAGGGACGAACCACAACTGAGGTATGTGCCCTTGACTGGAATCTAACCTATGACTCATTTGTCCGTAGGCCGACGTTCTAACCACTGAGCCAAACTGACCAGGGCAACCACCATGCATAAAGATTGGATTTGGGCACTTATCATCCTTTTTTCTGCCTCTTCCCACCAGGAGAAGTCGCTCCAGTGCAAGGAACTGCATTTGACCTGAGGAAGCCAGTGGAGCTTGGCAAACACCTGCAGGAGTTCCACATTGGTGGCTTTGACCACAATTTCTGTCTGAAGGGAGCTAAGGAAAAGCATTTTTGTGCACGGTAGGTACTTTTCACTTTCTGCCTCTGTAGGAAAGATAGCAACCCCTATTTGAGGAACTTTTCCTCTGGCCATATCACTACCATTTACAATGCCACAAGGACCAAATCCCACATCCCATGTCTTTTCAAAGCTTATATTCCACAGGTGAGCTCTGCAGAACTTCTCAGCCCCTCCCCCACAGGCCATTATCCCTGCGCCCCTGCCTGGCACCCCATGTCTCTCTCCCACCCTCCATCTCAGCCTGTTGTTTATGGCCCATTTTTTGTTAGAAGCCCTAATTCCTCCTGACTGAAGTCACTTCTGCCTTCCTTGAACTCCTAGAGCCCTTTGTACTTTGTTGAGTTGTGAGTTTTGCCTGCCCACATCCATGTAAGGTTGGAGGCTCGCTGCTCTTCAGCCCTGAGAGGCTCTGTGTGCACCCCCCTCCTCACTAAATCCCAAGTCCCTCCTGCCAGCTCACCTTTGAGAATCCCTGCCTCTACCTAACATCTAATGCCATGTTTGGCACTAGAAAGTGATCCATAAATGTTTGTAGAATAAATGGATTTTCAGTAATCCAGAGAAAATGATTCAAACTCTGAAAGAAAGAGAACTTTCCCTCGGAGTCCCAGCACCAAGGCCCCAGCCGTGCTCTTTCAGCTCAAGCCTTTTTCTCCTCTGTGCCTACTACTCACATTTCTCCCCACAACGGCCCTCCCCTGCGGATACCCCTGCCTTGTCTCCAGAGTCCAGCCCTGGCCCTCCTCTTCCCAAACCTCCTTCCCTGAACCTCTCGGTTGGCTATACATTGTGGGGATGTTTTACTTCTCGGACAGACTGTGACCCAGGCTTTCTCCCTCTCTATCCCTTTGACACCAAGTACAGACCAGGTAAGTGCTCACTTCTGTAGAGGCCTGGTTTGAAGGGGAATAAACAGTGAACCTAGCAGGAACTCCAGCATAGCCAGCTCTAATCTCAGGGTGTTGTTTAAGAAAGCCTCTCTTTTCTTTCAAAAAACAGCTCATTTTGCCAGGCTGAGCAGAGAGCTCCAAATCTTTATGAGAAAGAATCCCAGCTTCTCCAAGACGCTAAAACTGCCTCTCTCCAACCTGGCTGCCCCCAACACACACACATTGGTTCCTTCCCTAGAGAAACCAAACTCAGAGTGAGAAGTTGCTGAGGATTGTCCAAACCATCTGCTAATACCTCACCTAGGATCCTACAAGAACTTCCCATGATGCTCTTCCTTTGTCTCCTCTATATATCTTGTCCCGGCCCTGTGACTGGGTCTAATTCCTGTGTCAAAGCTGCTTCCCAGCTTCTTCCTGTCCATGCCTGCTTTTCCACCCTGCACCTATATGTGGTTTGGCTTTATTTCCAGGGTCCATCATCCTGGAAGCGGGCGGGTACTAGAAGTCTACACCACCCAGCCTGGGCTCCAGTTTTACACGGGCAACTTCCTGGACGGCACGCTGAAGGGCAAGAGTGGAGCAGTCTATCCCAAACACTCCGGTTTCTGCCTTGAGACCCAGAACTGGCCTGATGCAGTCAATCAGGTAAAGCTACAGGCTGGCCTGTTAGAGTAGTGGTGTGTCCAAGGTCACGCTGTCTGACAGAGTTCCATGACACTTGAGCCAGGTCTGTGTGATTAAGAAGTCCATGTGTGTTTTCTTCTCCAAGTCATGATAAACACAGGAAACACTTAGCCAAGCTACTAACATGGCATGGACATTTTTTTAAAAGTTTATTTTGTACCTGCAAGGCCATTATGTAATGTTCCTCAATACCTACTTGTTTTCTGTAAGCATGCTTTTAAGATGATCCTTCATGTCTTCTCTTCCTATTTGCTTCTTCGTAACTCTTCTAGGTATTTCCTAGAGTTATGCTCTGCAAAGTGCCCGCCTATGACAAGACACTTGCAGCTTGCACCAGAATATAAAGTCGCACTGCTTCCTTCTAGAAAGTCTTGCTACGACAAAGTGTGCTTAATGAAATAGTTGATTTTCATTCTGGCTCAAAATTTTTTTATCTCATTGGCAACCAGTAATAAACAGTTCTTACACTGCCATCTGGTTCACAGGGCAGGTCGAAAAGACCACTCCAAATCCTGGGTAAGGGTGCAACCTGGGCTGGCAAGGTGTAACCTGTTTTTCCCCCTTCACAGCCCCACTTCCCTCCTGTGCTGCTGAGACCTGATGAGGAGTATGACCACACCACTTGGTTCAAGTTTTCTGTGGCTTAAGGGAGTGTGAAGACATGACCCACCCCAGGGTCAGGCTAGGAGCCCCTTTGGAAGCCTGTCTCCTCTTCAGAGATGAGATGAAGATTTAGAGGCTTTAAGTGATCCTATGAATTAAAATTATACAAATGGTAGCTGTCATGATAACCAGTCTGAATACTGATCTGCTTTCCAATGACTGGCTCCAGGCCAGATCTAATGACCAGCTCTATTCTCTGTGTAGTTAGTTAAGAGGACCCAACCACCAGTCATCATCCAAGCCCTAACCCTGGCCCAGAAATGGCCCCTGGATCTTTGTGCTGTTGGCTCCATCTCTCTACCCTGCCTCTTTCTTTTCTACTTGTCACCCCTCCTTTGAGCCTACTCTCTCATTCCTTTTTTCTTCCTCCTCTACCTCAAACTACCTTGCCTTTGAGCATCACCTTGGAGTTTTCAAGTCCCCTAAAGGCACACGGCTAGAATTTTAACCAGGATTTGAGGTCATGTGAATTCAAGTCCCCTTCTTTGCTGCTCTTCTATCCGCCAGAGCATTACTAGGATCACTCATGGACAAAGAGGGGTGTGACCCTTATCTATTAGAGTCAGCCTTTCTTCCCAGATTCACTTTTACTAAAAACATTAATTAGTCTGAGTCTGATTAACTGTCTCTGAGCCCTAGAAGTGGTATGATTTAAAACACAAGAATCTGTCATTTTAATTCTCTGACTTTGAAATGAACTGAGAAAGCCGAGCTCAGCCAAGGTATGGAAGAAAGGAAGCCATGAGGCAGGAGCTGTCAGTGTGAGGACAGGGCCTTACCTGAGGATAGTACATCACACCTGGAACAGATGTTGTGTGATGTAGCTAAGGTGAGGGCTCCCTCTTTTCCTGAACAGTGAATCATCAGTGATGGGTTTGGGTTGGTGATTTTTAAACAAATGTCTTATATACTAGCAACTAATTGAAATTAAAAAACAACAAAACCCTGCACCTTCAAAGACTCCGTTTCTTTATTTACCTTTAAATCTGTCAGGCGTGGACCAAGTATATGGTATGTTCTGGATTCTCCTATGCTCTCCAATATAAGCCCCAGCATATTCCTGGAGGAAAGCTACCTAGCTGGCAGCCTATTGAGCTTCCCATACTTCCTCTTTATTAGCAACCACAATAAACCAAAGATAGTGTTTACTTTTTAGTTCATTTCAGCATGGATTTTCTGAGTACCTGTTTTGCAGTTTTCTGATGGGTGTTTTAAGGGAATCAAGAGGTAATGTCTAAGATGTAGTATGTTCACTTGGGATATCACAGTCTTTCTGGGACAAGACTAATAGTAGCAATTTGATGACGTAGAATGGCACTGTGATGTGGCTGGGAGCCCTGAACTAGTACTAACGTTGCTTCTGGCATTTACTACTTGGGCAAACAATCTAATTTCACTTCACCTCTGTTTTCTCATTTACAAGGCATTATTCCAATTTCTTGTTCTGAAAAAAGAATTGTTTTTACAATAAGCCTAGCCTAGAGCAGCCTAATGTTCACCTTTAGGACAGTTGAAAGAAGTTACTGGTATTTTAATGAATTGTATTTATGAAAGACAAAGAGATTAAGTTTGATTGTCAAGCCATTAAGTCTGATGCAAGTAAAATTTTAGAGAAACTGGTCTTTTGTGGTGGCAACCAGTCTATTCTTTTTCATGCAAAAACACATATGAGAGAACTTTGATGTGCTTGAGGAAAGACATTATAGGTATGAGACATGTGGAGTATGACATGTGAGCATAATTGTAGTATTTTATGATAAAATCACTGAAGCTGTCAGCAAGAAACCATCTTACAGTCTAACAACTGGATACTTCGTTCATGTGAGGTGGTGAGAACAAATATGGTATATAATAAGAAAAACATCATATAACTACAGTATTAAATCCTTGTTGAAAATGCTTCACTAAAATGTAACATACACTGCCCTCCAAGAAAGTCTCCAGGCCCCGAGGAGTCAAAGCCTTCCTTACCACACATCCCCTACCCTACCCACAACCAGATTAGTGCTTTATTGTTCTGAGTTCTGATCCTTCGCAGGTAAGCATATCATTGATTCAGTTCAATGATCTATGGAATCTTGTTTGTTTCAAATTCATAGGACATTAGGTTCTTATCATTAGCTGTGGGATTTTCATTATCCCAATTCCCACTCATTGTGCCTAACAAGAAAGATGTAATATTAAATAATTGCACAAACACTGCTGTAAAGCCTAAACTAAGATGGCATGCTATGGAGGTTAACTGTTGTGTTAGGTGACCAATGACAGTTCAACCTCAGCAGATTAAAGGAAGTTAAGTGTCGATAAATAAATAGTTTGTGAAAAGTAGAACATGAAAAAATACAGGACTGCCTGGTCGGTGTGGCTCAGTGGATTGGGCATTGTTGCATGGACTGAGAGGTTCAGGTTCAAGACCCAGTCAGGGCATGTGCCTAAGATGCAGGCTCGATCCCCAGTGGGGGTTGTGCAGGAGGCAGCTGATGGATGTTTCTCTCTTTCTCTCCCTCTCCCTTCCTCTCTCTCTTAAAAAAACAAAATACACGACTACCAGGAGAAGACAGGAGGGAAACACAACATAAACCCTGTCTCCTAGCCAGGTCCCATTATCAGTTGTAACCATTGTAACTAATAACTGGGTCTCCAGTTTGCAAGGAGCTATTCGAACAGTTTTGACAGGAGTGCCATCCTTTTCCAAGTGAGGTATTTATCTTATCCCTCCAACTTCCAACTTCTCCAATCCAATTACTCCAATCGTAACTAAAGTCTCAAATGCTTTGGGTACCACTTCAGCTGAAGCCAAGTAAGGTGCTCAGCAAATCCTCTCTTCAAAAAAGCAACTATAATGCTGGGGAAAAAATTGACAAAATAATTGTGCTGCTCTGGAAACTGACCAAAAAGATACAACAATCTGAAATGTGTCTGTTTGAAAAACTGCTGAACATTGGGTAGAACAGTGGGAAACTGGCGTTCTTGCCTGGGGCTGCTACCATTCCCCTTATTTTCCCAACTCAGTCACTGTGGAGATTCTGCCAGGGCAAAACAAAACATAAGGACCATCAGGTTGCTGTGGTTCATGGGAAGCTCACTCAATTTGGAGCAGTAGGAGCACAGAGGGCCAATGGCTCTATTAGCCTGAGGTTGCAATCATGGCTGGAGCAAGCAGATTCTGCAAAATCAGGCTGTGTACATGCATAGAAGAGACCACAAAGGGCCCAAGCTATTCACACACTCCTGGCCAACTCTGAAGCTGCATGCATGTGCAGAGAAAATTAAGAGGGGCTCAGCAAAAAGTAAAAGCCAGGACAGACTTGACAACAGCCTAAATACTGAATTCACCGTCTACCTACACACAAATTCATCAGCAGAGGAGAAAAATCTGACTGGTTGCAGTGTTTCTGTCTAGTTAGTGGCTGACTATTAACCTATGCAGACACAGGGCAACACCTAGAAAGCTGAGCTTAAAAATAAAGATTTTAAAAATAATAACCAAAATACTAAAAAGAGATTATGAGAAAGAATCGAGTGAAATTCAAATGAGAACTTCACTAGAGAGGTTCAGAAGCAGATTCAGGATGGCAGAAGAACAAGAAGTTGAGGATAAATTAATAGAAATTATTCAATTTGAAAAACTGTGAAAAGAGATTGAAGAAAATGGAAAAGAACCTCATAGACATGTGGAACAACATCCCACAAAAAGGAAAGGAGAGAAAATGGGTAGGAAAATATTTCAAAAAATAATTGAGGGGAAAAAAATCCTCCCAAATTTTATGAAAACCATTAATCTACATATCCAAGAAGCTCAACAAACTCCAAGGATAAATACAAAGAGATCTCAACCTAGATACTTCATATTTAATGCTCAAAAAACAGAAAATCTGAAAGCAAGAGATAAATGACTCATCAGTACAGGGGACCATCAATACAATTAACATTTGACTTCTCATCTCTAACAATGCAGTCCAGGAGGCAGTAGAATGACACAATGTGCTTAAAAACCAGGAACCCTATACCACCCAAAACTACCCTTCAAAAGTGAAAGTGAGCCCAGCCGGTGTAGCTCAGTGGTTGAGCATCAACCCACCCAAAGGTCACCAGTTTGATTCCCAGTCAGGGCACATGCCCAGGTTGTGGGCCGGATTCCCAGTGGGGGACATGCTGGAGGTGGCCAGTCGATGTTCTCTCTCATCGATGTTTCTCTTTCTCTCCCTCTCTTTTCCTCTCCCTCTAAATCAATAAAGAAAAAAAAGTGAAAGTGAAATAAAAACATTTTCAGAAACAAAGAATGAGAGAAAATTCACTGCAGCAGACCTGTCTTACAACAAACACTAGACGAAGTCCTTCATGCTGAAAGAAAATTAATATGGTAACTCAAATCCATGGTAAAAAAGTCCGGCCAATGTGGCTCAGTGGTTGAGTGTCGACCCATGCACCAAGAGGTCGCCAGTTCGTTCCCAGTCAGGACACATGCTCAGGTTGTGGGCCTGATCCCCAGTGGGGGACATGCTGGAGGTGGCCAGTCGATGTTCTCTCTCATTGATGTTTCTCTCTCCCTTCCTCTCTCTAAATTCAATAAAGAAAAAAATAAAAAAATCAGAAGTGATAAATATGTGAGTTAAAAAAAAGTATTTCTCATCTCTTCTTTAAAAGATACAGATTATATAAAGCTATAATTACAACACAGTATGATTGAGTTTATAATACATATATACATATAGCACAAGGGAGGTAAGTTCAGAAAAAGAAAATACATTGGAGAAAAATTTCTGTATTTTACCAAAATAATTTATCTGAAATAGATTATGATAAATTAAGCTGCAACTAAGGAAATAACTCAAAAATAAAGTACAAAGAAAATCAAGAAGTTAAAATGATATACTAAAAATATTTAATAGAGAAGATGGTTGAAGAAGGAAGAGAAAAAAAGACTGGAGATATAGAAAACAACAAAATGATGGCTATAAATCCAATTACATTAACTCTAGATGGTTTCAGCACCCCAAAAGGCATTTTGTCAGAGTGAATTAAAAAGCAAGATCTAGTAACTAACTATATAGACCAATAAGCTGAAAGTAAACAGATGGAAAAATATACCATACAAACAGTAATCATCAGAAAGCTGAAATGGCTATTTTAACATCAGACAAAATGGACTAGACAGATATTTTATAATGATAAAAGCATTAACACAGCAGAAGATTTAACAATTATATGTACCTAACAGAGCCTTAGATACTTTGAAGCGATAATTATGACCAGAGACCATGTCTGGAGTAGCGCTGGTGTTAGGCATAACCAAACAGTTCTGGTAAATACTGCAAATTACCTAAACAGAACATTCTTTTTTTTTTTTTTAAGATGAGTATTTCCCTGAGCACAGTGACCTTACTGGTACTAATATAAACTAAAATGCAGTTTCTGCCTTTTTCATAGAAAGGTTCCATTCCAGCATAGGGTCATTTGGTTAGAGAAAGGATCAGAAAAACCTAGATACATAATAGAACCCTGCTTTGAATCACAAATGAGTGCTGCTAATTTTCTTATTAAAATAGCAATAAACCAGGCCAATCCATCCAATAACTAGTGAATTAGGCTATGCTGGCTAACAGCCCCTATAGCAGTTTTCAATTCCGGTTCTATATAAGAATTACCAGGGGAGGTTTTTGGATTTTAATGCCCAGGCTGCACCCTCAGCAATTTTGGTTTCATTAGGTTTTAAAGCTCTTTGGGTCCTAATATAACTAGGAATGAGAACCACTGCCCTAGAGTAAAAGCTTTCCCCATTATTATCTCATAAGTTTCACCAATATTTAAGTGCATGAATATGTTCAGCTAGAATTTGCTCCCTAGCTTTATGAAGCACTTCCTCAAGATTGAGTCACAGAGAAACAATTTTCCCAGACCAACAAAAGTACATCTTGGGCCCTGGCCGGTTTTGCTCAGCGGTTAGAGCATCAGCCTGCAGTCCAGAGACCGGGGTTCGGTTCCTGCTAAGGGCATGTACCTCGGTTGCAGTATGTCCCCGGCCTGGTTGGGTCGTGTGGGAGGCGATCACTAGATGTGTACCTTTCACATCGATGTTTCTCTATCGTTCCCCCTCCCTCCCACTATCTGAACAACAACAAAAAAAGTACATCTTGGTAAGGCCCTACAAACCCTATCAATAATCCTGGCACCCAATATCTTCAGAGATAATTATTTTGAAGACTGTAAACAAGTTGAAGATACATGTCTAAACCAGGGGTTGACAAACATTTTCTATAAAGAGCCAGGGAGTATTTTAAGCTTTGTGGAACCTAGTGTATTGCAATTATCGAACTCTTGTCACTGTAACAGAGAAAAGTCATAGATAATTAGGTAAATGAATGAGTATGATTGTGTTCCTATAAAACTTTATGGATGCTGCAGTTTGACTTTCACATAATCCTCATGTCCTGATTATTATTATTTTCTTCTTTCAACCATAAAAAATGGAAAGACCACCTTAGCTCGTTAGCTGTATGAAAACAGCAGTGGGCCAGATCTGGCCTGCTGGCCCTAATTTCCTGAATCCTGGTCTAACAAATAGCCAGCACTCTGAAAGAATACAAACATTAAGGCATAGCACATTCATTCTTAGGCAAAGGAAGCAGTATGTTCTTGTAACAGGAACCCAGGAACTCTGGTAACTGTCCTCCTGACCATGACCGGGATAAACTGGCCCGGCTGCCTTGACCTCTGCCATATGTTTTCCCTACAGCCAGACTTTTTTATCCTTGGCAATGAAAGGATTCATTTTCTGGAATCCAGATTTCCTGAAGATATGTTACAACCCAAAATAAAAACAGGATCTTTGTATAAGCTCATACATGGCCACCTTCAAACTTTAGTCACTAAGATTCCCTTTAATCATAGAATCTAGAGGTGGAGATAATATGACCACAGGCATATGAAATAGACATTGTTGGTTCAATGACTTGATCTTCCTTACATGGGTTAGGCCAACTCACCTGGGCTCAACAGCTCTTGGGATGGTAAGTCTGCACATCTTTTCTGCAGAAAACATTCTGCAGAGAATTTCCCACACCCTTTCTGAGCAGAACTCTCTGACATAATCCAGGTAAGGAAAAAAACCTTGCACTAGAGTTCCAGAGTAGAGCTGGGCATTGTAAATAGCAGCCTAAGGATCTCAATCCTCTGCAGGCAGATTTAGATAGGAATCAGGTCTTATAGGAGAGGAGACTAATAGGAAAATATGGGCTTTTAACTGAAATGGTGAGTATAAAAGTCTCACAGAAGAGGTTAAAATTTTATGTTCTTGGTTTAATAAATTATAATTCATTCATTCATTCATCCATTAACTCACTTTTTATTCACCAAATATTTAAGTAATAATAAGTGCTAGGCAACGAGGAACCGGAACAAGGCCTGGTACCTGCTGTCACAATGTTCTTGTAGTGGTATACCTGCAGAGAAGTAAACAGGCAATTACAGTGTAAATAGGTGTCCCACTATGCAAGAAGTTCAGTGTGTCGAGGGTTAGGATTAGGGTTACCTGTACCAGACTTTTAAACACATCAAGTTTCCAGAGTGGAGGAAATACTGTATTTTACAATTTTTAAAAAAGTCTATGCTGAGATACCATTTCCAACATAAGATTGGTAAAAAGCAACGAGCTCGATAGTCACATATTGTGAATCACATGAGCAATGATACAGGAAAATGGGCACTCCTACACATTGCCACAAGAGTAAACTAACAATACGTACCAAAAATATAAATATACATACTCTTTGATCTAGCAATTCTACTTCTAAGGATTATCCTACATATACAGGAGCACTTGTGCAATGTATCATACAAGAATATTCACTGCAGCATTGCTGTAGTAATTAAAAACAGTCCTCCTATCTATCAATAGGGAACTGATTCAATTCCTGTTACTCTCTGCTAAAAAACTTGAGGAAAAAAAGTGAGTCCTTTCTAGGGCATACAAAGTTCTACATGATGTATATCCCTACATCCGCCTGCTTTCCTGTGCCACCACTTCCCACTCTCTCCTCTGTTCACTTCCTATTTATCTCTTTACTCTCCAACAATTCCTACTACTTTAGGGCAAAACATCAACAAGCTCCCAATTCCTCTTACCCTGCGTTTCATTCTTTTACTTATCAGTATTACCCACCTGATATCTGTTCATCTCTCCAGATTTTAAGCTCCATAAGGATAGACTGTTCACTTCTGTATTCCAAGGCTAGCAGTACCTGGCACATTGAAGGGGCACAAAATTTTACTGTATAAATTCTGCAACATCCAGGCAACTAAGTAATATACAACATTAAAAAAAGACAAAAGTGCCATTTTACTTATATGAAAGGTATTAAATGAGAAAAGCAAGGTGTATATATTTTGTGTTAAAAAAAGAGAAAATAACTATGTATATTTGATCAGGCTGAATAACTGATTAACAATAGTTGCCTTTTTCAGTCAGGCCTAGGGAGTCTTCTCACTGTGTACACCTCAAATATATTACTAAGTCTAAAATAAAATGAAAATAGGTTGAGCCAGTGGCCTGTGGGAAAAGGGAAAAACACTAAGTTTGAAAAGTGGCCTTAAGTTAACTGGCTACTTGCATTCCACATGCTCCAGAATTATCCTTCTATTCAGCATCTTTTTCCCATTAGTTCTGGAAAGAAAATCATCAAGTTATCAACAGTATAACCTACAATGGATAGGAGCATAGGTTGTATATTTTTAAATATTCTTTTCCATAATGTGATTTTGTTTTAAAGGAGCAGTAAGGTACTTTATTAAAAAGTAAGGGGTTTAAAACCATAGGTAGAATTCAAACTTTCCCTACCTACTAATAGGTTAACAGAGTATTAAGTTACCAATCACTCTGAGCCAAGTTACCAATATCCTCTGTGAGATGGGGTTAACAGTACTATTTTGTTGTGAGAATTAAGTGACAATGTCCTTTGATATTTTTACTAGAATGGTAACAATAAACATGTTAAAGTGTGGGAAAAAGAACTACCAGGCTTTGAAACTGTTTACCAGTACTTTTACCCCCTTTATTGAAAATAATTTTGAATATAACAACTTTAATACATAGGTATCTTTGCCCCATTTCTTTGGCTTGTCACCAGTTCTCACCACACTCCAAACACTCCAAGCCCGGCCAGGCCACTACTATTTCTTATAACTTCGACCTTCTCTGCTTCATCTTTCCAGCTATACAATTATGTATACATCTTGTAGGTTATATAGTCCTGTGTTCCAAAGATCTCTAAGCAGCAGTTGCTCACTAAGCCAGATCTAATAAATTCTTTGCTATTACCCTTCATTCTGGTAACTCTTTGCCAATTTGTCAGCTTCCTATTCCTACTAGTTTAATGTATCTTGGACATCATTATGCTTCTTTAGACTTCAAGATAGACTACACAAAGACAATCACAATCCTACACCACCATTCATTTAACGAAGTCTCAAATTGGTGGCATTTCAAGACCCCCCAATTTTCTGTCCTCAATAGACACTGCAAGATGTAGCATCACTTTCACTTGCTACTTTGCCTAGTTCAAAGCCCAAGGGAAAAATACCACTGTGAAGTGCATTACTTACCTCTCTATACATGAATGAGAAGACCAGATAAGATTCTATGTCCAAAGTATATCTGTTATGTTGTTAGCTAGTAATTTAGAATGATTTTCGAGTCTGAACCAGTACTTTTCAAGTCAGTCACATAGTCTTTTGAGCAGTCCTAACTGCTTAAAGTATAAAAGTGCACTACACACTTTTGTCATTTTAAGATGTATTCTAAACACAGGGGTACCAAATTATAGTCAACAGTTATTCGCCTAGATAACCAGGTTTTCCTTTCTCGTAAGGATAGAACTTTTTGTGCTTGTTTCTCAAAACCATTTTTGCCCCAACCTCTCCTTTTCATATTCATCTCGAGGACACTGCTAGTAATTAATCCACCCCAAAGCTACAGAAATGATTCCTACTCTTGGCTCAGAACTCCCACTTCCAAAAATTGAGTATCAGGATTGTTTGTTCTCTGCAGATTTATTGTTGAGTAAATTTATCTTTATATAATACAGAACAATTAAAGCTAACCAAATGCAATAAACCTGCCAATTACAGTTTTATACCAACCATAATTCAGCCAGTTTTCAAAATTCCAAAAAAGTATCCATCCAAACTTCCAACATACTAGTGATCAGACTAAATCGAGGCAGACCAGTATTCCCAAATTGCAATGCTATTCAGTAACTTCGTTAAGTGTAAGGAAATGGACAAGATACCTGCGCCACCAGCATTAATCTTTCTTTTTGCTCCATCACATTCTTTTTTGCACCACAGCTACAGAACACCTGGTAAAAGCTTGACCAGGAAACTCAAAATTAACTGTTACTGCTCTACTAAAGATACTTAAAGTCTAAAGAATGTACTGGCTACCAAAAAACAAACTACATAAGATATTGCTAAATATAGGTGCGATTTACAAAGCTGCATCTCATTAACATTTCTGATTGACATCTTGTATTACTTTGCACCAGCCTGGCAAAATAAGATATAGGATGTTGGTGGTTGAAAACTAAAAGTCTAGCTTGGGAATTAACAGATATCTGCTCAGAATAAGGCAATCCATTCGAAGGGATCGTGTCTGGGCTGGAAAATTTTGCAAAGCTGGTTTACATGATGTTTTGTCCCAAATTTAGACAATTCCTTAAACATGCAAAAATGTTGGTAGCAAAACTGGTTGTTGAAAACTAACACCGAAAACATCCTAAAATGGGAGTTCTATTTGATACCATCCCATCTAATAACCTGAAGACTTCAGTCACTACTTAAATAGCGTTCGGAAAATAATCCTGTTTCTCGAGCACTGAGTCCAATTACTTCTTATATCATTTACTTGACTAAGCTGTTCTGGTTCTTGTCATTCTTATTTATAGGCAAATCAGTGGTTCTCCTACCTTGACAGACCAAATCATTAGCCTAATAATATATAACACCAACTCCAACTGATTCAGGGGCTTGTCATAATGCATTCATGCTATTAAGAAGGACTTGAGTTCTTACCCAAAGCTCTAAAGGTAAAAGGGAATTTTCCAAGTGTATGTATACTACAGTTAATGATGTTGAAGACTTAACACCATTCAACTTTGAATGTAGGTCTATACGAATATGGTTGATATCAAGGTTGACGACTGAAACTTACCAAGTGAGTATTAATATTGAACACAGATCAAAAATCTAGTTAGAAACATTTTATTTAAATGTGCCAAATAAAAACCCACATTTTCAAACCATAAGATGTTAATACATTCAACAAAAATTTATATTATCTTACTGCTGTGAATTTACAGAGTAATAATCCAGATTGTGTTTAGATGGTTGAAATACCCTTCCTAGGTTACATTTTACAAACATCACAAATCCCTTATAATAATGTAAACAAAATAACTTTTCCCTAAAAGGTGAACTTGAGAACTTCAGTCCACTCTTTCAGGACTTGCACTTCTTCGTGGACTTCCTGATGGGGAACGACTAAAAAGAAAAACATTAGGTTTGGAACCCATTAGTCTCTACTGAAACTTACTCTTCTCATGAACATGTCAGGGCAAAACTCAGTTTCAATAAATTCAAAGGTGGCCAAAGGAACTAAGTTTCTGTAACAGAGATCGAAAAATTGAATATTTATACACAAATCCTTTGTCCCTGGTTTAAGATTAGGCTTAATAATTGGCCAGCTGCTGTGGCTCAGTGGCTTGAGCGTCGTCCCATGGACTGAGAGCTCCTGGGTCCCAGTTCGATTCCCAGTCAGGACACGTGCCAGGATTGCAGGTGCGATCCCCAGGATGGGGTGTGCAAGAGGCAGCCGATCGATGCTTCTCTCTCACGTCGATGTTTCTCTCTCTCTCTCTCTAAAAAATCAATAAAAACATATTTAAAAAAAGAGATTAGGCTTAATAGCCCTTCTTGCTAAAATTGCATGGTTAAGTTAAAAAAAACTATTTGAATTTTGGGTGGTTTTTTTTTTTTTTTTTTTTAACATTAAGTAGCAATTAGACAGTTTAATGGTTTTAGCTGCAAGATTTCAACCTATAAACTTTTCTTCATGTAAGCACTTCCTTTTTTACCTTTGGTTGCTATGTGGAGTGAAAAGCATGTTCCTTAACATAAAATTATACTATTAAGGGTTCACCCAACCAACATCTTAATCATCTTTCTAACATTTTATGACTAAATATTTCCAATAAAAGTATAAGGTGATATTGACACAGAAAAAGTAATCCTTTAAGAAACTTAGCATCTAGTATTTATATATATAGCACCAATTCTCCAAAGAGCTCAAAATCAAAGCCTGCAAAGTAGGCAGGAAGCAAGCAAATTATGCAGAGGCCGTATTTGACAGTTAAAATTTGGCAACAAATTATTTAGCTTACCTTCTTTTTGGAGATGGAGATCTGGACTTTGATCGGCTGTCAAAACATGAAAAATTCTATTAAGATAAAGTACTACCCAATCCCTTTCTTATAGCCACAATAACGAAACGAACCCCACAACTGTCCTGAACTTAAAATGTCAGGCTGCAACTGACAAAGAGCTTAACAGCTTTTGCTAACAAAAGCCAATCTTCCAACAATTGTTCATACAATGAACTACTTTTATCATGATTTATTTGCCTTAAACACAACTATCTCAAAATGCTTCTCCATACACCTGTTAGTTCTAACAAGAGCCTCTTAACATAACACCAAAGTCACAAACTTATTTCTTACTGTAGCTTGACATTCTCTTGTCCAGGAACTCAGCCAGAATAGGCCATGTAAAAATAAAGTTCTAAAGTTTGGTTTATTGCCCTGGCCGGTTTGGCTCAGCAGTTAAGAGCTTCGGCCGGTGGACCAGAGTCCCGGGTTCGGTTCCTACTAAGGGCATGTACCTCGATTGCAGTTTGTCCTTGGCCCCGGTTGGGGTCGTGTGGGTGGCGGTCAGTCAACGTGTCTCACATCGATGTTTCTCTCTCTCTCCCTCCCACTCTATTTAAAGATAAATGCAAAAAAATAAAATAAAGTTTGGTTTATTAATAAGGTACTGTGGTCTGCCTGGTGTGGCTCAGTGGTTGAGCATCGACCCATGCACCAAGAGGTCACCGGTTCAATTCCCAGTCAGGACACATGCCTGGGTTGTAGGCCTGATCCCCAGTGAGGGGCATGTTGGAGGCAGCCAATCGATGTTCTCTCTCTCTCCTCTCACTTCCTCTCTCTGTAAAATCAATAAAGGAAAAAGAAAAAAAAAAAGGTACTATCGCCCTGGCTGGTTTGGCTCAGCGGTTAGAGCGTCAGCTTGCAGTCCTGAGAGACCCGGGTTCGGTTCCCGCTAAGGGCATGTACCTCGGTTGCAGTTTGTCCCCGGCCCTGGTCGGTTGTGCGGGTGGCAACGACTCGATGTGTCCCTTCACATCGATGTTTCTCTCTCTCCCTCACTCTACCTGAACAAAAAAAAAAAAAAAAAAAAAAGTCCTCGGATGAGGATTAAAAAAAAAAAAAAAAAAAAAAAAAAAAGGTACTATGTTCCCCCTCACCACCTAGGATTAACACTTGAAACTTCGACAATTCAAAATACTTTGAACTCTTTGGATATTGGTGCCATATAACTACAAGAGAATAATCAAATTTCTACTCCTACCTGCTTCTTGGTCGTGAAAGAGACCTGGATCTTGATCTTGACCTCGACCGTGACCTTAAAAACAAAAATTATACCAATTAGTCCATACTAATACTTTCCTTAAACACCCCGAGCACCTTAATAGGTAGACTCGGAATAGAGGCTAAAGCTGAACAAGATGCAACTCTTGCCTTTTATCAGTCTAAGACTGAACAAACTGTTACATTTTCAACAAGCTGATATAAAATAAATAAAAAACCACCATTTCAATTATTTGCTTCTATTCACATTCCATGAGCTGGGTTAACTGTCACAGTTCCAGAGGTTAATATTAAAGTATATAGTATCCAAGAGAAAGATAGTTTTTAAAGACTGATATGATTTGATTTTATCTTAAAAGAATCAAATCTATATCACATAAACCCCTGAACTGAGATTTCCATTATTCCAGTGATAAGCACAGTGAAAAAGTCTCAAGCGGGTAGTACTTTATTCTTAATCAGTAAGCTTTCATAGTTTAAGACCATTCACTTATCACACAAACCAAATCAGGTTGACATACACATCTTGGGAGTCCTGCAATCAAATTTACACTACTACTTCTCTACAAACAACTTTTCCAAGGTCTCAAATTCACCCCACCACCCCAAATCATGTCCTTAAGACACTATACTACTGTCATTAAGACGTGACAATCCCAATACAAATAAGGGGGGGAAAAAAAAGTTACATACTGGAAATACCTCGATCCTTTTATAGAACCAGACCTAGACCGTCTGAGTGAAGCTGATCGTGATCTTCGAAGAGACACAGATCTTGATCGTCGAGGAGATGCTGATCTTGATCTAAAAATCAAATCAAAGAGGTTTAGGTCCATCTCCAATTAAAGTTTTTTACTGCTTGTTAAAACTTGCATTAAGATCTCTCACCTCCTTCCCCTGCTCCTGCTTCGTGAGCGAGAGTATCGCCTACCTCTCGATCTCGAATGTGATCTAGACCGTGACCTATTTTTCAAGTTAGAAAAAACAAAATGTTAGATGGTAACTCGTTTTTGCAGTTTGTGTGCCTCTGCTGAAATCAAATCTCAAAACTATTTAAATTTAGTGTCTCATTTTGAAATAAACTCTGGGCCTATTATAGTTGTCCAATTTTTTTTTAAACTACCTAAAAAAAGATTTGTTAAAAGCTGAATTACATCTTAGAATTACATAATATAAAGCACTGTAATGTGTATTTAAAATAAACCTTGCAAGTCTGCAGGTCGACCCTCTTTGGCCCATGGTCTAGTAGATCTAGACGATCTAGAAGTATCTATAGCCGATCGCTGCATCTAGATGTTTTCTTCAATCTAACGACGATCAAACTGACAGCCAAATGAGCCAGGTGAGGCTTGATTGACGCAAGAAGATTTTTCTAGTTGGAAATGTGGTCAATCTGGTGTTCCTCTTTCTAAACCGGAGGGGGCCCCAATTGTAAGCCAAATTTACTGTTACGGCGATCACCGACTCAAATTTTCTGCCCTTTAAAGAATAAGGTGAAGCTAGGTGTAGATGACTCGAGGGGATCTGGCCTCTTATGCTGATCACCTCAAGGTCTAGGAGGATCTTAATTGTCGGATTTGCAAGGCGCCTCAGCATATCATAAGGCTCGTGACATTCTGAATCAAGGCGACTGACTCAAACGAAGAAACCTGAAAGGTTTTGACCAGGTTGATTATTAATATATTAACATTGATTTAATTAAACAAAAATTGTAAAATACACCTGTACAATTAACATTCAAGTTTATATAAAAATACTTTCTGCCTTGCTAATAAAAAAATTACTCGATTAACTAGTATACCAACCATTCTTTTAAAATAAATACCTGCTTCTTCTTCGTCGACTATAGCGATGACAATCATAAGCATAATGTCCCTTTTCGCCACATTCATAGCATCTATCATTGGGATCAAAGGGACGTCGGGCAGGTGGTCTATCAAAACGAGATCTCCGGGGCATGCCTGTTGATAATTCAACCCTCACTCGGGAACCACAAATCACCCTATAAAAGAGAAGCAACAAAATTCTAATGCTAAAAAAAGTATGACTTCTAGATTTAGAACTTTCCAACTAGTCCTTGCTTGTACAGCTTCAACTATCTTTGTAAGCCCTTCCAACTCAACCTTTGCTCCCTTTCTTAAATAAAATGACTAAGCTATTTACAATTTCCTCCAGACTACAAAATCCAAGCTTAGCACCTAGCTCAGAACCCAGCCTACCAGCCTATTCTAGTGAACATAAATTCTATAACCGGCATCTTACTTACTTGCCATCCAAGCCTCGCACCGCATCTTCTGCATCTCTAGGGTCTTCAAATTCCACAAAGGCAAATCCTGGAGGATTTCTTGCAATCCACACAGTTCTTAAGGGACCATAATAACTGAAAGCCCTTTCTAACTCTCCTTTGCCAGCACCAGTTCCCAGGTTACCAACATACACCTTGGTTTCTGTTTGAAAATGCAAATAGAAGAATGCACGTTATGCAAAATTTGACCCAAGCTTGAATGAATTCTTTGCCTTATACCAGGCCATCCTTACCACCACAGAAAACATGTTCTGTGCTCTATCAAGGATTGCACTTGGCCTTAAAACCAGCAAAGTCACTTCTGAAGAGCGAGGCGTATGGCAAAGTCCTTAACATTCTAATCTGGTGGGGAAACACCTCCAAGCCAGGGTAGAGATGAGAGGTAGGATATCCCGAGGCAGGAGGCGGGCCCCGCCCCGGCCCCGCCCCCGAGTCCCGTCAGCGCGGGGCGCGCAGGCAGCGCGCGGACCCGCGGCGGCAGCGGCGTCGGCGGCGGGCAGGCCCCGCCGAGGGCCGGACCCGGAGGCAGGGCTGCGCCGGCTCTCGTCCTCCGCGGCAGCCGCCCCGGGCGCAGGCTCGCCTAAGACTCCAGCTCCCCGCCCCAGTCATAAACCGCGCTCGCAAGAGCTAAAAGAGAAAAGAAACCAGCCGCCAGACGAAAAGATTATGTCCATACCCACTCCGCAGTTCGACCGACTGTATGACGGGAAAGCGCGGCTCGAAGCTGCCAGTTTTGTTCAGGCTCAAATTCACCCTTGATTTTATGGCTGCAACCAGACTGTCCGCTAAAGTGGCGGGAAAGCGCCAGGGAAATGCGCCACCATGCTCGTCAATGTGCGCAAAATGGCAGCCGAGGGCGGGGGGGTGTGGGGGGCGGCCCGGCGGCTCGAAGAAGGGCAACAGGAAAGCAGTGACCGTGGGCCCGAGTTGCACTGGTGCGCGAGACGAAAATGCCCAAGAATTAACACAGAACTCCACACAGACCTGCACCCGCCCTCCCCGGCTCCCTCCTCTATCCCGCCCCCGCTGCCTCCGGCTTCGTGCGGTGTGCGCCGAAGCCGCCATTACGCACGCGGAATAACCGTCTCCCAACCGCCGCGCCAACCCCACGGCCTCGCAATACTCGCTACACCCACAGCAACGTCCCTCGCTGGGCCCAGGCCGCTCACCTCCTCCATACCGCCCGTAACGCGACATGATGGCCGGCCCGCGAGCTCCGCTCGTTCTGCTCGCAGCGCCCAGGAGTCGAGTAATACAAAAGCAGTGGGGCCTCAGCACGCCAACGGTCCCAGCGGCACTACGAGGAAGAGCCTGGGTTCCGGCTTATATATGCGGCGGCTGGGTTTCTCTGCGCATGCGCCAACTCTGCGTTCTGCGCGGCACAAAGGAGCTGGGCGGAAACACCAGAGTGGTGGCGCGGAGGGAACTGAGGAGGGGAAGACACGAATCACAGGCGGAGGGATACGTTTCCATGGGAACGTCAGAATCTCTTCAGTAAACCCTTGGCCTTCCCCGTGGTGTCCCGCCCCCTCCTTCCCCCTTGTCCTGTACCCTCCCCTTTCCCTTCCCTCCCCTCCTCCCCCTTTCATTTTGCCCATTGTAGGGACCCTCGCTTCTAGTCATCCTACTACAGGTGCATGAGACCGGCCTTATGAAAAGCTGTACAATTTAGCCGCTGATGTTGCAGCCGTCGCCGCCGTTCTGCCGGGGGACCTAGCCTAGACTACCAGTCAGTGATCTTTGGGGCTCGTCAAAGGGACTTTAGCCAGGGTGAGAACTCCATGAACCCCTCCTTTCTGAGTAGTGGTCTCGGCATTATAGGCCTAAAAAGGGGTGAAACCCTTAGGGACTGCCCGCCCTGCACCTACCCTACAGTCCCTAAAGAACTAGCTACCCATTTTCACCGACTCTTCCGAGTTCTTGGAGTCTGGGGGGCTAAGGAATACCGCCGTGTCTTTCTCTCCCTTTCTTTCTCCTTCCTTCCTTCCTTCCTTCCTTCCTTCCTTCCTTCCTTCCTTCCTTTCTTTCTTTCTTCTCTTTCTTTTTTTTCCCTTCCTTCCTTCCTTTTTTTTTTTTTGTTATATTGAAGTTGTGACAAATCCTTAAAGCATTTTGGCCAGTGGCAATTCTGAAATGATTTACATTTGAAGTACAATTGACTTGTGCTTTCCCTTTAGTTCTTTTTGTTTTGCATTGTAATAACACATCTCATCCACTAAACACTCATCCTCAGGACTGGGACTTAAGTCTTTTAGTAGCAGCCTCTGCAGTTTAGCCACTTTGTATAACAAATATATGGAAACCTTTTCTTTATGTTAGAATCACTTAAAATCCACTTTTGATTTCAGACCTTGCATTTGCCAGACACCAACTCTACAAATATAGATTTAACTTTTTTTTACCATCCACCAAAAATAAAATTATTCCATAAATACTTCAGATGCACAGGTTGGAAATGTTCCACATAAAAGAGGAATTCCTTAAGTATTTATACTTTATTTTCATCTGCTGTATCTTTTTTTTTAATCCTTACTTGAGGACTTTTTTTTTTTAATCCTCACCCGAGGACATTTTTCCATTTTTTATTCAGATAGAGCAGGAGGGAGAAAGAGAGAGAGAGAAACATCGATGTGAAAGGGACACATCCAGTGGCTGCCACCCGCATGACCCAACCAGGGCCAGGGGACGACAAACTGCAATCGAGTTACGTGCCCTTAGCGGGAAGCAAACCCTGGTCTCTCTGGACCGCAGGCCGACGCTCTAGCCGCTCAGCCAAACCGGCCAGGGCCACTCAAGGACATTTTTTCATTTATCCTCAGATAGAGCAGGAAGGAGAGAGGGAGGAAGAGAGAGAGAGAAACATCAACGTGAAAGGGACACATCAACCGGTTGCCACCCACACAACCCAACCGGGGCCAGGGACAAACTGCAACTGAGGTACATGCCCTTAGCAGGAACCGAACCCAGGTTTCTCTGGTCCGTGGGCCCATACTCTAACAGCTGAGCCAAACCAGCCAGGGCTCTTTTTTTATTATTATTATAAATTTTTGTTAATCCTCCCCTGAAGATCTCTTTCCATTAATTTTTAGAGGGAGAGGAAGGGAGGGAGGGAGAAACATCTATGTGAGAGAGACACATGGATTAGTTGCCTCCCGAATGACCTCAACCGAGGCCGAGGATCAAACCTGCAACCCAGGTACATGCCCTTTTTCAGGAATTGAACCCCCGACCCTTCCGTCCATAGGCTGACACTCTGACCACTGAGCAAAACCAACCAGAGCTCATCTGCTGTGTCTTGATGTCTGTAGGTGTGGGATACAGAGTATAGGAGAGAGGAGGATTATTGAATAAGTCTTTATTCAGGTGAGCAAAATAATTGATTCTCTCCAGGTAATGTTATGAATTTATATATTTCAGTATTATCAAATTATGGGAAGAATTAGTCTGCCTCAAGGAAATCTCTAGCAAGAAAATAGAAGTTCTGTTACTGGACACAACAGGTCTATTATTACCTGTCATCGCTAAGCCAATAAGCAGAGACAAGGTTGAATCTTTTATGAGCTTTTATATGAATGGCCAACAATAGGAGAGAGCAGCAGGTATGGCACCTTGAAAAACTGCTCTCGCATATGCCAGTTGGCTGCTTATATAGGGGTAAGAAAGAAAAGCTACGTGCAGTGAGGAGGGTGTAGCAGGATAAGGGCTTTTGGGTATGTGGTCAGTGTGTCCACTCCCAGGATTTGATAACGGGGTAGTTTATCTTTCCACAGTGTCAAAACAGCTTAGTCCATTCCCGGAATCAGAGAATGGACAGCATTCCTGAGGCAAAATCCCGGAGGGGGTCATCATCTGGACGCAGCAACCAGGTCAGGGTCTACTTTCTTTGATCAAGACAGAACAGACATAATAATATCTATGAGCATTACTAGTGCCCCACCATTCCCTCCCTGTGGTAGTTATATTTGTTTGTGGTAGTTATATTTGTTCGCCATTAATCTCATTAAATGTTGGTGCCATCTACTTAACAGGGTTCTTCTTGAAAGGGTTAAATGATAAAGATATTTTTACATACTCCCTGAAAGATAGAATACAGGATCAATGTAATAAAGTCTCACTAATTTGAATTTCTCCTTTTAAGAATTTATGAAAATTGCCCTGGCCAGTTTGGCGCAATGGTTAGAGTGTAGGCCTGCGGACCGGAGAGTCCCGGATTCGGTTCCCGCTAAGGGCATGTACCTCGGTTGCAATTTTTCCCGGCCCCAGTTGGGGTCGTGTGGGTGGCAGCCACTTGATGTGTCTCTCTCACATCGATGTTTCTCTCACTTCCTTCTTCTCTCCCTCCCACTCTATCTGGAAAAAAAAAAAAAAGTTTATGAAAATTGTCCAGCCGGTGTGGCTCAGTGATTGAGCATCGACCCATGCACCAAGAGGGTGCTTATTTGATTCCCGGTCAGGACACATACCCGGGTTGTGGGCCAGATCCCCAATGGGGAGCATGCAGGAGGTGGCCAATCAATGTTCTCTCTCATCAATGTTTCTATCTCTCTCTAAAATCAATAAAGGAAAAACAAAAAGAATTTATGAAAATTGCTTTTAGACAAAACATAAATAACTTATCAAAAGATAGTACTTATTAGTCAACGGCCATACCACCCTGAATGCCTGAGATCTGGTCTGATCTCAGGAGTTAAGCAGGGTTGGGTTTGGTTAGTACTTGGGTGGTAAAGATGGTACTTATTATGCTGCATAGCTCCTAACTGGCCTCAATAAATATTTTGTGGCTCTAAATACAAAGTCTGTTGTACAAAAGAGAATTTCTAAGGAAATAATAATGCCAACAATATGAAAAGAAGCTATTTTTCAGCTTATAACAAATTGCTTTCAAGCACATTAAGGGAAAAGGGGTAAACCCTGACTGGTTTGCCTGCCTCTCTAGGAGAGGAGCTTTGATAAGATAATTACATATTATTTACCTCTATTAAAAGAGGGCCAGCCCTGGCCGGTTTGGCTCAGTGGTTGGAGTGTCAGCCTGCGGACCAGAGAGTCCCGGGTTCGGTTCCTGCTAGGGGCACATACCAATAAATAAATAAATAATAATAAAAGTATAACCTTTAAAAAAAAAAAAAAAAGAGGGCCAATTCTAGGCTGGGCTTTGCTAACATAGTTGCCATGAAAAAATAATGATACTATAGTCCTGGCCAGTGTGGCTCAGTTGGTGGAAAGTCATCCTATGCCCCAAAGGGTTGGATTCCCTGTCACGGCACAAACCCAGGTTGTGGGCTCAATCCCTGGGTGCATGCGGGAGGCAGCTGATCTCTCACATTGATCTCTCTCTCTCTCTCTCTCTCTCTCTCTTTCTCTCTAAAAGAACATATTAAAAAATAGTATTGTATACTATTTCTGTACACTGTTATACTGAATAATTTTCTCTAAGAACATGTAACCAATTCTTTTCACTAAATGTCAGTCTAAATCAGGGAGATTTTATTGTATTCCTGCTGATTCTTTTGAAATCAGTTTCACCTACATTTTTGCCTCTAGGATTCTGTGTTAAATTAAGATCACATTCCCAGATTTTATTTGAATGTGAAAGCTACTTAATTCAATTCAACAAATATTCTAATATTTCCTAATGTGGAATATTGAGTAGTTCTTAACACATTACTGTTGTTAAACATTGATAACATTATTAATGTCCTTTGACAGCTTTCAATTTATATGTATTTCCTAGGTCATTATTTTCAGGGAAGCATTAAAGAAAAGGTTCACGTTTTATCTTATTTTCTTGTCCATTTTAGTTTCACTTTTAAGTCATTGTCACCATTTTAGCTTGGATGTGAAAACCTTTTTTTTTTTAATCTTTTTTTTTTTTTTTTTTGATACGTGCCCCTAGCGGGAACTGAACCCGGGACTCTCTGGTCCGCAGGTCAGTGCTCCAATTGCTGAGCCAAACCGGCCAGGGTTGGATGTGAAAACCTTAAAACAAGAAAAACAAGTTTAGACCTTTTGCACATGTATCGATTTTATTGTTGTTGTTAATCCTGACCTGAAAATATTTTTCCCTTGATTTATTTATTTATTTTTTGATAGAGTAGAAGGAAAGGAGGGAGGGAGAGAGAGAGAAACATTGATGTAAGAGAGACACATTGATATTTTGCCTCCCTCACGACCTGGAGGATCGAACCTGCAAACCCAGGTACATGCCCTTGACTGGAATCGAACCCAAGACCCTTCAGTCCTCAGGCCGACACTCTAACTGCTGGGCCAAACTGGCCAGGGCTGCGCAATTATCAATTTTTAATCTAACAAAGTAGTCTGTAGTTACAAACACTAGTCTTTTAATATGTATTTATGTATGTGCTATGTATATTTGTATTGTAGTTCAATCCAAATAGCTATGTTTCAGCTACAACTTTTTTTTTTCAGCATTTCAT